GGGGGGGGGGGGGGGGGGGTCGCGTCACGCGCGTACGAATTAAAAAAAAAAAAAAACAAACAACGCACGTTTTCAACACGTATTTGAATAGTTTATCATGTTATACTCAAACGCGGATGAAGTGGGATGTCCAGACACCCGAAACACCCACTTCCCTCTAGTCTGGTTGCGCCTTATTTTCGTCTTCGTTCAAAAAGCGCTTGTACGGTTGATAATAGCGGATGTGCAGATAGCTCGCACGCGATGTGTCGTGCTTAGTGTTTTTTTTTTTTTTTGTACATCACTGCGCCGACGGCTGTCGATTAGAAAAAATAAATCTAAAATGTTGTTAAAATTAAACAAAAAAAAAATATATATATTCTCACGCGCTCAGATCGTTCTGCGATGGCTTTACGACATTCTAGAAGCGCTTTAAGTCCCCTCTCCAATCCGATACTTTATGCTATTCCCTTAAACTTTGTCCGGTTACACTTACTATAGTAACATTATCCTACTTTAAGCAGTTATTCTCCGATTCCTCCGTACTCTCGCGTCGCTTTTTCCGAACCTTTTCGCAAGGCCGTGTTGGTAAAAAAAAAAAAAAAAAAACAATAATAAAAAAAGGCCGACATACTACGCACAATGAGCGGGGGCCACTGTTGTAGGTGAGAAGCGGGGAAAATATTACGATATAGAGGGAAATTTGATTTATATCCGTTCGCTACGGCGCGGGGTTTGTCGGCCAGTAAAAACTAGAAGTCGAGTTGCGGGAAATTTACGACGTACATCGAACAACAGCGCGGAACTGGCGTACTGACAATTTTCCGGATTGCCGACGGTTTTTCCGTAGATATGATTTCGAAAATAAAAAAAAAAAAAAAACACCCCCTCCCCCGCAACGAACGAGACGCGGGGCGTACGCGTGCCGCGGCCGTGAAAAAAGTCTCCAGATTTCGATTTCCACGCGCGATTTCGGGATTTTCGTTTATTCGATATCCGGTCAGACCGCGGCGCGTCTCTGTCGGTCCGTTTCCGGACACACGTGCGACCATCCGCATCGGCGATGCTGCGGCCGACGCCCGCCGAATGTTCACGCGTTTATTTCGGCGCGCGTCCGCCAACGTACCGCGATAAACGTGTCCGTAGAAATTATTAATTCGACACCGGGGTTTAGATTTCGGGCGGCAGAGGTCATTCGGTCGGTGCGCGCGCGCGCGTGAGTGTGTGTGTGTGTGTGTGTGTGTGTGTTGTGTGTTGTGTGTTGTGTGGATTAATATTATTATTGTTGTGGGACGACGTCCGAGAGCGCGATCGGTCGTCTCGTTCGTTCGAATAAAAAAAAAAAAAAACGCTAATTGATTTGATCCGCGCGACGTGTCGTCGGCCGCGACGACCGTCGTCCGCGGCGTATTGCGGTTTCGTACAAATGCGGTTTTTCTATGGAAAAAAAAAAAAAAAAAAAAATGGAAAAAAATTTACCGTGCCGGCGAAAAGAAACGATTTTCGGCCGGCGACAGTGACCGGGCAAACAAGAGGGGCGCGGCGGACGAAACCGGATACGGTTCGCGGTCGGCACCGTTGCGGACCGGGGAGGAGGCGTTTACGGGATCGTGCACGCGGAAATCCCCGCACGCGGTGGAAATCGCCGCGACGAAGCGGTTCCGAGCCCGGGCGAACCGGGCGTCGGCCGCGCGTTTTTTTCCCCCGTGTCCACCGTTGTAGCCGATATCGTAACTCATAGGGAATCGTCGAAACGTTTACGAAAAAAAAAAAAAAAAAACTCCGACAGTATTCGTTGACTAAAAAATCGAGATAAAAAAAAAAAAAAACCGTCGTTATTGCACGATTAAAACTATATTATAATAGCTTCTCGATACACTCGGAATGAAAAAAAAAAAAAAAAAAAAAAAAAAAAAAACAACGAGTCGTCCAATATTGTAATGTTATTGTACGCCGTATGCCCGCCGAACGTTCGATTATTATTTCGGTTGAATATATTTACGTCGAAAAAAAGTCACATTGTTTTATACCGACGCCGTCAACGAATAATTATCGTTGTTTCTCGTACCGTGGACAATAGGGGAAAACATAATGTACGATAACGAAATGTGTTTCGAAGTCTCAAAGTCGTTAACAATATTATTGTAATAATCTGGTTTTCGGATGTCACACGCGAGACGAAAACAAATCGGTAAAAAAAAAAAAAAAAAAATAGTATAGCAATAAAAACAGACGAACTCGAATGCGCGTGTCGTAAAAAATTATATTATTACGATTCCGTGTACGGAGATAAAAACAATGACCGAACAACAGAAAAATAGTCCGAAACTGCTGATGTGTGCCGCTGTTTTAGAAGATACATTGTAATATATCTATAGCGTATCTATATAATTTTATTTATATCCACGCACGCAACTACACGGTAACGGAAAACAATTCTGAGCCGTGCTATTATTTGTCGTATTTTTTTTTTTTTTTTATCTCGATGTAACCGTTGAAACGGACGATAATGCAAAAACAAAAAAAAAACCGCACGTTTTTCCCTCGTTTATTGAGAAAACTACAAAAACGCGTTACAAAAAATGTTCGATCGGAGCAAGATTTAATACACAAAAAACATATCACAATCAATCCGATACGTTCCTCTCATTTCGCTCAGAATATTAAAAAATAAATAGATACACGATGATTCTGTGTTTATCACGAACCGGTCACATTCGTTATCAGTGTACGCGTAGATTGATTTCGATTAAATTCGATTTCGACGGGTGAAATATTTGAAAAGGATGCTACAATAATTGTATTTACCCGCATTTGATTTCCGTTCCGTGTCTAACTAAACGACGCGGAGACAGTGAAAAAAAAAAAAAACAAGAGCTACATAATGTAATAGGTATGTTAGTTTTTAGTTTTTTCATTCTCTTTAATAATAACAGTAACTTTTTCGTTTCACAACTATTTAGTAAACTATAACTCAACGTACCGCGAGACCTAGAAAATCGTATTATTGTTTTAAAATGTTGTCGTCTGTGTGTTTAAACTGCAGTATACATAGAAAAAAAAAAAAAAAAAAAAAAAAAAAAACGTCGACCTATAAACGTCACGGTTTACGTGCACAGTAGTCTGAGCAGCGGTGTTGGCAAGGAAAACCGATATTTTTGTCTATGTGTCTACGTAATTGAATTTTTTATCTCTGACAGATATATATAAGATAATAATAATCAGTTATCTTTAAGTGGTAAAAGAAAAGATAACAAATACAATATTCAAAACAGTATTGGTGTATATGAATAGGGAAGGTCGTACTATACAATAGGGTCCGTCTAACATCTTATTTCGGATAATCTACCGCCGTAACGGGGACCAGAATAAAATATATTATCGCACATATTTTGTGAACACCGTCGAGGTATTACGGCGCGATTAAAAAAAAAAAAAAAAAAACAAAACCCTCGGGGCTTTGGTAAATTACGCTGTAATATTATATCGTTACGGTCTCTCCATTGTGCACACGCGTCTACTGAAAACAATCGACTACGGATAAGGGTACAACAGATACGGGCGCCATCTTGATTGTCTTTTTATCCCGACGCCGATTCCCGGGCGTGTAACCTAACGGAAAGAACCTTTCGTCGCGTAGCCCGAAATTATACGTTTTAGTTGTCGTTGAATAGATCGGGCAGGCGGACAAATCAAATTCGCTCAAAACATCCGTGCGGCCGCGGACGGGTACGCCGACCTCGGCCTGCCGGGAAATTTTTCGAAAAATGGGTCGTCCCCGACGTGAAAAAAATTTACCGATGAACTGAAGGCCCGCCGAGGAAGTGCCCGCCGGAAAATCGCCGGCTTCCCCCCCGTAAACGTGTAGCGTACGCGCCGACAGTGTTGTGCGCGCAAGCATTACGATCGCCCTGGTACGATCCGTATTTAAAACTGTCTAGGGACGGTCTGGAACCGTCGCATATTACCGATGTTATTTTTCCGAAAAAAAAAAAAGAAGCAAACAATAATATTCTCTCGCCGGGCGTTTCTTCGCTGCGCGCAATAACGCCGCCGCGCCGGCGATTTCTCCGGGGCGTGTAGCGGCACGGTGAACTTGACGCGGACGCCTTGAGCCGCCGTTTCACTAATTACAATTATCGCGGCGTTACGAGCCGTTGCGCACGCGCGACTTTTACGCGTGTAACGATCGCCATTTCGGTTCCGATGCGGCCGCCGTATGGAGACGAGATGGCCAAAAAATAAAATAATAACCTATACCGCCGACGGGTGTGCCGTTGTCGTCGGGCCCCGAGGACTCGACGACGGAAAGGTCGCGCGCACAAAGTTGATTGATTGACGAACCGTCGTTAACGGAATACGATT